AACAACATAAATTGTTGGTCAAAGCGACACATTGAATTTGCTTACTGAGTTAAAGGGCCACCTTGAAGAAAAATAATACGATGACTACATTATCTTTTTTTTTTAAAATATAAGGACCTCTGATACTTTTTTGCCAAATAATAATTTTCAAACCTTTAGCATTGAAAATTACAACAGAATAAGAATAAGAAAAGTTTTAACACTTAAAATTTAATTATATCAAAATAAATGAAAGATATCATTTCAATCTTATATGAGACATGGTTTGTAAACGATGACTTTGAATACATATCATTTATCTTAGTATTTTTTTTTCTTTCTGAAAAAAAACTACTTTATTACATTAGACAAAGAAAATAAAACATTATGGTAATAATTCTAAAATATGCAATTGTTTCTTATCGCAATATATTTTACGAAAGAAATACCTGACGTAAATAAAGAATTTGTTTGTAAAATGATTTCTCATAACTTGTGATCGATTCATGTAATGGTCCCATCATTTCAAAAGGTTTTGGATTAACAAAAATGGGGACGTAAATTCTATTATTACTTCCGTAAGAGACTACACGATGTTCAACACTTCTATACATTTTGTTGCTTATTATCTGTAGGGCATCTCCAACATTAATCACAAGAGGACCTTTAATTGGAGGAACATGAATCCAATTATTTCTCATATTTTCTTACAAAAACCCTTTGATCACATCTTGAGGAAGAATTGTGAGATTCGAGACATCAGAGTGATAACCTACTCCGACGATGAATTTGAATTTTGGACATTTGAGATAATAATTATGATTAGATAAATTAAACTTTATCCTTTAAAATTTAAATACCTAATACATTTTTATATTTTTAAAATTTAGTAACTTAATCTCTCTCGATATTTTATATTAACTTTATACTTGTATATATCATGTGGAAATATAATGAGTGGTCTTAATGATAAAAAGAAATGTTATTCTCCCTAAAAGATCCGAATATGAATAATTGTATTTACAGGATATACAATGGGATGCACCTCTCCAAATATATTATTGGAAATGTATAATCCTCTCCATAATTGTTTTAATGATACCATATACAATTTTTTTTGAAAATATAATAAATTTTAAATATTATAATTTTAAGAATATAATTTTTATAAGATTATTAAACACTGGTCTTGATCGCTTTGTTTTTTCCACATCCTGGCAACAATCTCATGCCATGTGTCGGGTTTCAAGTGAGTTCTCACCAGTCTCAGACCACTGTGTCCTGATTATCGATATATCCGCCCCTCCCTATCCTCCGCGTCGTCATGGCCGCTTGGATTACTTCCGTTTTGAAGAATGTTAGGGGACTGATCCGACCTGTGTTTCTCATGTAATGCAGGCATGAACCTCTATAACGGGTAGTGTCACGAGTAAAATTAGTGTTATTGGTGCCACCTTGCATGCATGGCAGCAAGAATGTCGATATCAGGAGAACGGCCGTATTATTTCCACAAGTGCAAAATTGATCGCTTGTTGTGCGGCCCACTCTTGATGCTGGTCTGGATGAACTGAGTCGACTGAAAATGGAATTTGAGTGCTTATTGTCTCGGGAGGAAGTATATTGGAGACAACGATCGAGAGTTCAATGGCTTTCTCAAGGCAATCGGAACACATGATTTTTCCGAAGCTCGCACTTCGGGTCGAAAATCTAAAAATCACATCATGGGGTTTATACTTCCACAGGTGACTGGGTTCACGAGTTAACTGACATTCAGCATGATGGAGTTGAATTCTGCTCATCCTTATTTGGTTCGTCCTCGCTCCTAGATGTTTCTGAGGTCTTAGAAATTGTTGTTGAACCAATAATTACACCGGATATGAATGCTTCGCTTACTGCTGCTTTTACCCAGGAGGAAATCTACCAAGCATTTCTCCAAATAGGGCCTCATAAGGCACCGGGTCCGAATGGATTACCAGCTGGTTTTTACCGTGCTTTTTGGCCTCATGTTGGAGATGACATGACTGACCTATGCCAAGAACTTCTGGCTGATTGAGCTAACATGGCGCCAGTGAATCAAACAGTTATGGTGCTTATTCCGAAGATTACGAAACCCACACGCATGCAACACTTTCGCCCGATGTCACTTTGTAATGTGATATATAAAATTATCTCTAAAGTTTTGGTGAATTGATTGAAGCCTTTGATGCCTCACTGTATTTCTCTTAATCAAAGTGCATTTGTTCTGGGATGCCAAATTACTGATAATGTGTTATCGGCCCATAAATTGTTCCATTTCCTTCATTTTGCTCCAGGGTCTGGGTCGCATGGTTTGACAATCAAATTAGATATGGCAAAAGCGTATGACCGCGTGGAATGGGTCTTTCTTCGAGCAGTGATGGTACGTTTGGGTTTTTGTTCCAAGTTGGGTTGAGTTAATACCGTCTTCTGTCTCCACGGTATCATACTCCATCCGGGTAAATGGTTCATTATCGGACAGCGACCTGGGCGAGGATTGAGACAAGGAGACCCTCTCTCCCCGTTTTTTTTTCTCCCAGTTATCATCTGTTTTACATTTGGAGCAAAGACAACAGCGGTTGGCTGGAATCCGGGTTTGTTGAAAGACTCGGTGGGTCTCACACTTTCTATGCCGACGATTGCCTCATCTTCATTCGCCCCTCCGAGCTTGAGACTTACCGCCTTCAATATGCGCTTCATCAATATAAGGCAGTATGGGGACAACATATAAATTTGGCAAAATCCAGTATATATTTAAGTCCCCCCACTCCTCTTGATTTACGACAAATTATTTGTTCTATTTTGGGAATCCAGGAGGTTGCAGACCCGAGTTTGTATTTGAGCACGCCCCTTATTATGGGTAAGAATAAAACCAACACCTTCAGCTTCTTACGAGATCGTCTGTTGACTAGTACTCAAGGTTGGAGTGCTGCTATCTTGTTCCGGATGGAGTGCGGGTGACCTTGTCCGTCTTCTGCGTGAATTTTGGTGGACGGGGCAGTTCTCACATCGTGATTGGGCTTTGTTGGCGTAGTCCATTCTTTGTTCGTCGAAGCGGGTGGGTGGCCGTGGATTCCGGGATGTACACAAGTTCAACATTGCTTTGTTGGGGAAACACATCTGGAGGTTTCTTCGTGATCCGGATGGTCCGGTAACCAAGGTGTTTTCGGCCAAGTATTTTCATAATGGTGACATTCTGCATTCACAGCTCGGACGCCGACCATCTAATGATTGGAGGAATATTCACACAGCTACTAAATCTCCTCAGTCGATTTTTTATGGAGAATTGGCATTGGCAGTAATGTCCGGATGCATCAAGATACTTGGGGAAACTCTTCCCCTGACCCCTGTACAGTTTGATGGCTATTAAGTTGACAGTGTTGTAGAACCTGTTGGTTGTGGTGAATTTATGCAGGTAGGGGTTCCGACTTGGGATGTCTCACGGGTGCAGCAAGTCTTCGAACCAGTTGATGCTACTCGAATTCTAAGTGTTTCAATTGATTCGGTTGTGGCCTGTGGGCGACACTATCATCTGGAGATGTCACTCATCGGGTGTATATTCCACGAGGTCTGCCTATTATTTTCTCACGCGTCAACTTCATAATCCAGAACATGTTGATCCATTGTGGTTATATTTATCATCTTTACAAACTCTCCCAAGGTTCGCGTGTTCGGTTTGAGACTGGACCATGATGCTTTACTAGTTGGAGCAAGATTACAAATGATTGGTTATGGGGATGGTCCTGTCCTCTTTGTGGGGCATTTCCTGAGACTACTCTTCATGCCATTAAAGACTGTCCGGATGCATTCGGAATTCTCATTCAAGCTGGTCTTCCGACGGCCGCGCTAATGAGTCAATCGACCTCCGGTGGTGAGTGGCTCAGCTTCTTGAAGCCTATGATAGAGCCCAGTCGATTTGCAGAGATATTGGTTCTTTTATATGGAATTTGGCGACGTCGTAATATCTTCATGCATAAGGACCGTTTACTCCCTGGTTGGTATTTGTAGATGGAAGCCAAGTCCGTTCAGGCAGATTATCTGGCCGCTAATGATCATATCTCGCCACCTTCATACCCATCTGTGCCTCGATGGTTTAGTCCACCACCAGGTTGCCTCAAAATTAATGTGGCGATGCTTCTGCAATTTCAACTGGTATTGGTCTCGCCTGTTCCCTTCATGCCTCTCAGATCATCGTTGAAAGTGATTGCTTGAACATTGTGAGACAGCTTCATCACCGCCGGATGGACCTGTCAGTTGCATCCTTCCACCTTGTTGAGGCTCAACGGCTTCTGGATTCCAATGCCAAGGTCTCTCTTGTCTACATCCGTCGATCGGAAAATAAAGCTGCTCATACCCTTGCTCAGCATGCATCTTATTTGGAGTCATCCTGCTGTTTAGAGTCCGAGTGTCCAGATGTTATAAACCCAATTGTTATTTCTGATGCTGCTTTCAGTTAATTAATAATATTATCCTTCCTTAAAAAAAACTATATTTTATTTTAACATAAATCCTTCGTCATTATATTATAAATTCAGTTGAATAAAAGAGTAAAGTTTTATGTATACTCATATTTTTTCAATCATTTCAAAGTAAAAAATAAGTCTGCACAATATCTTTTATGATGCCATATAAAATGGAAAAATATATTTTCATAAAATATAGATGATTTATTATGGTGGTTTTCGTCTACTTCTTCTCACTATAAAAAGTAATCCAACCTTTTATTATTATATTGTCGGAACTGTCTTTCGGTTGGACCCGAAATTTAGCTTCGACTTAGGAAAGTGGATTCGGAGTCGCCATCGATCATTTATTTAAAAAGTAAATAGGTTGATTAGATACCTTATTTCTTATCTGATCTGCATTTTACCAATGATGTGTCGGATTCAGGAGTCGGTTACGGTCAATGAAGGTGTAGACACCCATTTTTGACCGGTCTTAAAAAATATTATACTTATTATTATATTTATTATTATTTATATTATTAATATTATTATTAATAATAATTTTGGTTACAATGTTTGCAGGCCCACATTATACCAAAACCCAGCAGATCAAGAGCCGAGATTACAAGTCTCAAGACCCAAACAACACCCAACAGCATATCTGACCCGAGTCCAGTAACCCGACTTGTGACCCGGATCCAACCCGGTAATATTAGGGTTTTATAACCCTAAATGACAGCCGCAACAGTGCACGCTGTCAACACCAACCGCCGTCGCCTAACCAGCCGAGCTTCACCCTCACACTATGGTCGAGCCAAGATATCAACCGAACCTCCAAGCAACCGAAGGTCGTCATCGCCTACATCAGCAACCACAAAACCAAGACACTCAGAATCAGACAAATCAACGCCTAATCCATTACACATTAAAAATGGAGACCTAATCTTCCACTAAATGGATATCAGTGGAACGAACACTATCAGATCTGAACTATAAAAGAATAAGGGGGTTCGACCAAAAAGGGGGAAAAACAATTGAAACAAAAAAGGGGTTTTCAACGAAAAACAGGGGGTAATCATTCAAAGAGGAAAAACAGTTTGTAAAGGTCTCTGGACCATCATTTTCGAAGCAATAAAAGGAAGTTTCTCTTTATTTCACTCTTCATTTCGAAGGAATATACCAACCATTCACAAAAACCATAGCAATTTCTTGAGGTATTGAAATTCATTTTAATCTCTAGTGTGTGGTCTGTGTGTGGGTGTGTGAGTGGGTGATTTCGAAATAAACAAGAGGGGTTTAGGGACGATTTACCTGGGTTGTACAAACGCAGTGGAGTCTCGGTGACTCTGTTCCATCTCAGTTAGGGTTGCGTTGTTTCAGAAGAGAGGTTGAGATTAGTTTAGTAAAAATAAATTTCAAAACAAAACTAAAAAATAAAAAAAGAGTGGTTTACCTTTGGGGTTAGGCGATCATGGATGGCGTACAGAGGTGAGTGATGAAGGAGAGAGTTGAGAGCAAGAGAAAAGGGAACGATGCAAGCAAAAATAAAAGAGTTTATTTGGGTTAGTAATATGATAATAATTGAGTTTATTTAGGTTAGTAATATGATAATAATTGTTTAATATTTTAGTGTTAAAATTGATTGGTTAATCAAACCCACGTGGGTAGCCATTTCATATAGGTATGGGGTTGTTTGTTTTCATATAAGAGTTTATTTGGGTTAGTAATATGATAATAATTGTTTAGTATTTTAGTGTTAAAATTGGTAGGTTAATCAAACCCACGTGGTGTCCATTTCATCTAGGTATGGGTGGTATGTTTCTACATAAAGGTTTATTAATTCTATTTTCTTTTCTTTCTATTTTTGTCTCTATGTTTTATGCATATTATATTTTCGTCCTTGTTTATTTGTTGAAACATTTATGTTAGTATTTTTTATTGCTTTCATTTATGCCGTTTTAGTCAATTTTTTAATTTCGGGCCAGCCATTAACAGATGTTTATTTGCATTAATACCACAACCTTACATTTGTTTCATGCTTGTATATATAAATATTTATGAGTATTACCATGTTTTATCACTCAAATAAGTATTATATATATATTTGCAGTATGTTTTCAATTTCTTTCCTCGTGATTTGTGACTTATATATATATATATATATATATGTATGTATATGTATGTATTATACATTTTGTGCTATACAGTATATTATAAAGTGTGTTATCATTTTTTATTATTTAATATTTATGCAGATTGTTTAGTATATATTCCATAACTGTTAATAGTGTATATGTTCATTTTTATTACTCTGATGTGTTTTTTTTTTCAAATTACATTCCCTTTTTATAGAATTATACTATTTAATGTTGTTAATTAATGGGCATTCGTAAGGAAAAATTATGCTTTAGTTCTTTAATATTTCCTTTGTTTTTACATAAGTCACAGTTGTATGTTTTTGTTTTAACGCTTATTTTCTATTGTGATTATGAATTAGTTTGTTAAGATTTTCTTCATGATTATTAATTTTAATTAAATTTGGACTTTTGATTTCAGTGTATTTCGGTTACCTTATATGCTAGATTTAATTCATTAAATTTAAATTTATTTTAATTTAGTCTGTTTTTAGGATTATTTTCTTTAATTAGTTGTCATATTTATTTTGCATGGTGATACGGTTTGATATGTATAAATATGTGATTTTTTTATTTACTAATTGTATGACATTCTTTGCATAATATGTATGATAACCTCATTTGCATAACTCGACATTATTATATAATTGGATTAAGGGTAATACCCTTTTAATTTAAAATTGTTTTAACTGGGTTGTCTTAACTTATTCGAGATCCGCTTTTAACGATTTTAAAATAAAAGTGTATCCTATCAGTGTATCCTATCAGTGACACCTAAAAATTGACTTGTCACTTTATAATTTGGTAATGGAAGAAAAAGAAATGATCGACTATTTAAATTTATCGAGAAAAGGTTGTTATAACTATTTAATATCTAGTCTCGATATTTTTAAATAATCGAATATTCTTTATCTTTCTAATGACTTGGTAATTTTAATTTAATCTATTTGTGTACTTTTGACCATTGTAAAATTCATATGTTGTTTGTTTTGGGATCATAAATCAAATTAAAACCGAATTTGTAAATTTCATTGCAAAGACATTAATTAATTGACTAGGTACCGATTTAGGGCGCTTTGGGGGTGCTAATCCTTCCCTACGCGTAACCGACTCCCGAACCCATTTTAATTGAATCTTTGGTAAACATAGACCAATTTTTTTCTTAAAAACGATTTTTCTTAAAATTGTTTTTAAAAAAACATTTTTAAGGTATTCGACCTACCTAACCTAAAGGTCGATGGCGACTCTATCCAATTTAATTCAAAATCATCGGATTTTCCAAAATTAAAGTCGTAACGGTTTTTAAACAATTAAACGATTGTCCCCGTCGAAAAACGGTTATGACAGCTTGGCGACTCCACTGGGGAAGCTTTTAGAGAGCCAGGCTGATAGTCGATTAATTAATTGTCTTTGCAAATGAAATTTATAAGTATGTTTTAATTTGGTTTTTGATCCCTTGTTTGTTTTAAATATTTTGTTTGCATTTTAATTTTTAGTTTGATTAATAAATAAATAGTTGTACTAACGTGTGATTTACATGTTTCAGTTTTCTGACCTTCACTTTAGTCTGTTGTTTTTCTTGGATCGAGGCAAAGAATTATGAGTTTCCCCATTGTCACTATAACCCTTTGATTTTTAGAGCCTTCTAACTGTTCTTTGTCCCGTTAGGTAGAGGTGAACGCTACGCTTACGTGAGAAAAATTGCTTTTCTCCGTATGGGCTTTAGCAAGTAACCTCTGGGGTACATATGCCTTATGTTTACGAGCGAAACATTGAGTTTCCTCGCATGGACATAGGGAAATGTATCCTCTCAAACTGAACTTGACCCGTTTAAGCCTATAATGGGTGAGGGTCGAGGGTCTGGCAAGCCCAAGGGGGTATCAGGAAAGGACAATTCGAGGACCCTGTTAGTGTTACTAAACCTCTATATGTCTTATACTAAATCTCTGTCCGCGATTCTTCAAAAGTCACAAGGGGGAAACTTATTCTAATATTTTCCTCGAATGTATTTATTTTTTGCAAGAAGTATGCGAATTAGAAAAACATGCGGTTAGGTTTTATATTTTTGTACAAAGCCTGTGAATTAGATATCATGAGGTTAGGATTTTTTTGAATAATAAAGCATTAGGGTAGATATCATGTTGGGTAGGATCTACTAAAGCATGATTGGGTAGCCAACATATGAGGGTAGGTTTTATTTAATGATTACGATGCTTATTATTTTGTTGTTTATATTATGTGTACTAACCCATTTTGGTTTTATGTCCATTTTATTTTGGATTTATTGCTTTTGTATCTTCATGTCATCCAAAGGTGTTAATTCACAAGTGATTGACTAATAAGAAGGCTGGTCATAATGAGGCAAGAAATTCTTACCATGTAGTCAAAATCGGGAGATCCAAAAACATTCAAATGATTCATGAAGAATGACATTCGATGATTGAAGAAATCTTAAACAGATTAAAGACAGATCTATGAAGAAAGACATCAGATAAATGTAGAAGTTTGAAGTTGATCGAAGTATTCATTTAAAGGTGCAAAGGCCAAGATGTTGACTCAAAAGATAGATACAGTCATACCAATGATGAGAAGATCTTTCATAAGGATATGAAAACCAATTCACATTAGAGGTAAGAATGGAGATTTCAAGATTCAATTTAAGGACATCCGATGTCATCAAAGGTGATAAAATACACCGACAATTTTTGGAAGTGAAATGATAGATTCCATTAAGAGTACGACTCAAAGAAATGAAGAAATGAACATTCAAAATTATATTTTGACTACATGGTGTACTTATTGAATTCTTGTCGACTAAATAAAGGTTGTTCTATAAGTGGTCACTTTCGGAGTTAACACCTCGTGCATTTGTATTCTTATTTTTGCATTGGCTTATTTATTTTGCTATTGTTGCTTTTTGTCATTTTGATATCCTATTTGTACTACCTTGTTTTTTATGTGGGTTTTTTTTTCTTTACATTGCATGATCATGACATAATCAAAAGGTGTCAATTTGTTAGTGGTCAGCATAGTAGAAGGCTTTCATGATGGACAAGGGGTTTCGTGATCAAGCAGACTATAACACAGTTGAGAAATGGCATCCTGAGAAAGCATCGAGAATAGTGGAGAGATATGCGCCCAAAGATCGCATGGCTGAGGAAGAGCAAAAGGAAATAAGACAGATAAAAGAACATATGTCCAAGATGATGGATAGGATGGATGTTTTGTCCAAAAGAAGTGAGACTTCTATAACAAGAATGAAAGAGCTCGACGAAAGCAACTTTGAGTTGTCAAATACACAAGGGACTACTTTAGAACTTGCTGATTCTAGCCAGTATGAGAAGCCACACACAATCATTGTTCGTATCAACAAGCTGTTTGGAAACGCCAAAGAAATTGTGACAACTGTAGAAGTCCAGAAGAATTAAAAGAAACCATGCAATCAGAACTCGTGAGCATACCTGAAGACTCCAGTTCCATCCAAGCCGAGAGGTGGCTCTTATTTTGATTCTATCCCTATATCATATAAGGAGTTGTATGATAAGCTTTTAGAAGCTCGGGAGGTGTCCCCGCAGTATGTGAAGCCTCTGCAACCTCTATATCCGGAGTGGTATGATGCCAATTCCAACTGTGAATATCACGCAGGAGCTCAAGGACATTATATCAAGAATTGTTTACTTTCAAGCATTGAATTAATTGCTTACTAGAACATGGAGTATTGGAATTTGAGAATAAGGGTCAACTGGGTTCAATAGTTAAACATATGGTCGAGGCCAAACCGAGTGAGTCCAAGGACAAAAAACATCAGTAAGGGTATCCAAAACAAAGAGCGTGTATTGAAATATGAAGCTCAAATACTTCAATTGCAAAATGAAAAGGACATTCAGAACAGAAAATTAGAAGCCATGCAAGATGGTTTTCAAAGAATCAATCAAACCTTTCAAAGTGTTGGGTTAGGCAATACTCCAGAAGAGTGGGCAAAAGAAGCCTCTAAATTGAAGAGTGGTGTTGAACAATGGAAAAGAAATTGTAATATACACGAAGAACGAGCTAAGAGGTGCTCTCGTGATCTACAGATCGCAGAAAATAAACGTAAAATAGCCTTACAAGAGTTAGGGATATGGCAAACAAAGAACGAAATATTGAGAACAGCCCTTGCTAACGTAGAAGCCTGGTTTCAAAACCATAATCGTAAGAAAGATATTGAACTCGAAACAAGTAGAGCCGATAAAAAAACAATGACAGAGTTTGTACAAGATTATAGAAATCTTGCACGAGAACTTCATGATCGCATCGAGTCTCTTACTAAAGAAAATGATCAATATTGCTTACAACTTCAAAGGTTGAAATATAAAGTGGAGAAAAAAGACAATACTATGAATGAGGCGGTTACTCAAGCAAGTAATGTGGCTGACAAA